GCTCAGAGGAGCTCTGAGCGTTTACGGTGGGGGGAAGCAAATGAGCACTGATGCAATCATGAGACAAGCCTACTGTGTGTGAGGAGAGAGGGATAAAGAGGAAGAAATGGAAGGATTTGGGGGCGGGAGAAGAAAATTGCTTCTTTATCAGAAAGAAAGACAGAGGCAGGTTAGAATGTTAAGTCTGTCAGGAATTCGGCAAGAGGAGGCCATTAGAATCGGGTTTGCTTCTATGAGAGCGTGTTTGTTTGTGAGTCTGCCTTATTAGTTGCTTCGACCTGTGCACCAGCACAGTAATTATAACTTTGTTTATTTGTCATTTTGCCCTCCCATTCCCAAGAGAGGGGGTGGGAGAGAGACAGAACGACAGTGACGACAGTACAGAAAATAATTATCCCTTATCTCCAAGGAACGGAGTCTCAGAAGGTTACATGGTGTTTTAGGAAAATAAAAAACATCCCTTTAGGAGAAATTATGCATAGATTTTCAAGTGAAATAAGCATGTGTTTTAAACAATATATTATGCACTTCAGTTGGCGCCACCAATTTTCAACAAAACAAACTCAAGTATACTCATCTAAAAGACAATTGCCCATCAGCTCTTTTCCATGTAGAGCAGCAGGAAGTGATTATGAAACTGAAACTCTAGCAGTTTACATTCCAGCATAACATCTTTTTGGTTGTTTTGTTGATTTTTCAGTTGGCCACCCATTCCCAAGAGACAGTGAGCATGTACTGATTAACAGTCACCCTGAATGCACTGATCGCACAGTCTGCCAAGTAATCAGTTTCATACAAATAGCAGCATGACACCGCAGCAAGCAAACATCACCCTGAGATTAGACCCAACTCAGCCGTTATCAAGCTTCTGAATGCATAATGAACACAAAATGCTTAGGTTCTGAATGTCTATTAGTCCTTTTCTTATTTAGTGCCCAAACTCTGGAATAACCTACCTAACATTGTTCAGGAGGCAGACACACTCTGTCAGTTTAAATCTAGATTAAAGACCCATCTCTTTAACCTGGCTTACACATAACGCACTAACACAATAATTAATTACTAACATAATAATAACATAATTTAACATAATAATAACATAATTTCTAATATTCAAATCCGTTAAAGGATTTTGAGGCTGCACTGAATAGGACAACCGGAACCGGGAACACTTCCCATAACACCTGATGTACTTGCTACATCGGACAAGTCCACAGGAACCAGATGAGTCCTCTGCACACTGTGACTTTGCTGCAGCCTGTAATTGAACTGCTGGTTTCGTCTGGCCAGAGGAGAACGAACAATATTTTTCTATTTAATATTGTAAAGTTGCTTTGACACAATTTGTATTGTTAAAAGTGCTATATAAATAAAGGTGACTTGACTTGACTTTTAATACATATGATCAATAAAAAAAAGATAGAGGAGCTTTTTATACGACCTTTGTTTTGTTTTAGATGAACTGTGTTTGCTAGAGCTTCGGTCGCATATGAATGAAGAGGTTAATCTCAGCTCTCATCTCAATCCTCTTAATCTCCAAAGCCTGGGGCACAGCAAAACACTCCGCAATTCCACTCCATCTCTCCTTAATCATCAAGGTCAGTGTTCATACCACCCTCTTCTCCAAAGGAAACTCAGAAAATCAGAGAGGGAGCCAGAGCCAGCCAGTGAGACTGGGGGAGGATCTGACAGTTATGCATCTGTTACAGCAGAATTCATATTTCAACTGCACATCCTCAGAAATCACTTATCACCATATTCAGCAGATGCATGACTGATTCACACAGAAAGAAAGAAAGAAAGAAAGAAAGAAAGACTTAAAAAGTGAGTTACATTAATCATTCTAGAACTTCCTCAGGCTCAGAGAAATACTTCACCCAACACTTCTATCCCAGTAGATGAATCAGTGTCTTCTGAAGTGAAACGACAGGTATTTGTATGAAAAACATTAATATTTTAAACTTTATAAACTATCACATGGCCAACTGTCATTATTATTATTATTATTATAAACACCTATTGTTTCGCTTCAGAAGACATTTCACTGGGGTCATATGGGTTACCACAGTTATCGTTTGTGTGGTTTTCGAAGCATCAAATTCTGGGTCACTAACCACTTTAATTAGTAAACAATCCAGAGATGGAGTGTTTTTCTAAAAAAAACTTGCATATTTCTTGCAACTTCTAAAATAAACACTGTTTATCTGAAGAAGGACAGTCATAAACATTTGGGTCGAGTAAACAATAAGAGAATTTTCATCTTTGGGTGGAGTATCCCTTTCTAGTTCACCACTAAATGAAAATTCTTCTATCATGTATTCACCCTCAAGTTGTTCCAAACCTGTATGGGTTAGTTTCTTCTGTTAAGCACAAAAGAAGATAATTTGAAGAATGTTGGCAACCAAACAGACAGTTGCCACTGACATCCACAGTACTGAAAAAAAATAGGAAACTAAAGTCAGTCAGTGGCAATAACATTGACGATTAATAAAACTAACTACAACTATAGCTATAGCTAAAAGTCTCAGCTGAAAGAAAGAAAAAATTACAGTCAATCAGAGTCCACCTAACAGTTTAAAATGTCAGCTCCCTCTAGAGATGAAAAGCTGGATGTTCATTATCATTTTCAGTCCCGTTGCTTTTTGGTCTCTTCAAGTTCCTCCGTCTTCATGTAGGCTATTTCTTACGTTTTGGCTGCCGGTGGTGACAAACGAAAGACAGTGCGGAAATGTCGCACGCTACAAAACTATCCCTGCGTCCCAATGTGCATACTATCCACCCTATCTGCCCTAAATAGTAGGCCTATTGAAAATTACTAATATCACATAGAATTTAGGATGGATAGTATGCATATTGGGACGCAGGCTAAGAAAACATTCACGTTCATCCATAGCGCTCTCAGCTTTCGGCTTCCCTAATAAGGAATGCACGCTTTGTTTGACCTCGCAAAATGCTTGATAGAAAAATCTGTCTGCGGCGCTGTTTATTTTCCTATTTACAGAGAATACGGCTGGCGTGATAGGACAATCTCAGGACAATTATTTCAGTCAACCTATGTTTCAGTGTGTAGGATTTTCTGCATACTATTCTATAAAAAACGCTTACAGATACCTTTAATTGTTATTCGTTGTATTTTAATACAATGTAGATGTATATTGTTATGTTTTATTCGTTTTAACTTTTTTCATTTTTGTTGCATGTCTTTTTTACTCATTTGAATAATTGATTTATCCACATTTCAGATAAAAATTACTCTGTCAGACAAAGCTATAGTAAATCTGCTTTTATATGCTGCACATTGGTTATAAAAAACTTAATAATTTAATACAAAGTAGTACTAAGCAAAATTGTAAACCCAACTATAACCCACATTAATTACCAACAACAATGATATACTGTCCTTATAAAAGCATATTCTGGCCCAGGCCTACTTACAAGAGCGCCAAAATGTAATTTACTGATACACAGACAAACTCACTGTCATGATCTCCAGCTGGAGTGCCCATGAGCTCCTCTAGAGGGCACTCCATTCTGTACCTTGTAATGTCCACCGTTCCAGAGTCCCTCTACAAGATGGCTGCCAACCCAGAGACTCTCCACGAAATGGCTGCCTACCCAGAGTCAAGTCACGTCTCAGCTGGTCATCCAGAGTCTTGTCACATCTCAGCTGGTCATCCAGAGTCTCGTCACGTCACAGCTGATCATCCAGAGTCTCGTCATAGATGATGTATATTCAACAGATGGCTCTCCCATTTGTACTCCGCCAGATATTGATGTGTTGGCCTCATTATCCCAATTAATGGAGTCACCACAGACATTTATCCACAAATGTTTAAGCAACCCGATTATAAATGGCATCCTTTAGCAGTAAACAAATTCCGTGCCACTACTAATGAGAAATCAAGATTTGCATGTCAATTCTGCAGTCAAACTTAGGGATTCACAGCACACATGTGAAGGACTCGAAACAAAGCCCAGGATCCAATCGGTCAGTGATCAAAGGGTGCTGTCCGGCAAACACGCCATCTGGGACAGAACGCACAAACATCAATGAGTTGAATATAATAACAAGGATTAGAAACAACAGCTTTTAAAGCCCGGAGGACAAGAAATCAGAATTCTGCCAGCCCAATGAGCAGGTCCACAAGACTTATGCTAATCAAATCCTGTCTTTTCCTCTTTCAGTCCACATCTAAACCACACAGGAGAAACTAAGAGAGCACAGCAAAAAGAGCAAACGCCAGAAACCGCTCCGAGACGTTTGTTGTTCGCTTTTGGCCATGATGGATTGGACCGGCTCACAGCTGTGACTCATGCTGCATCCAAAAACGACCAATAGACGTCAGAGACCGTTTGGACATCAGAACCACCAGACAATCTCTACTGATAAACAGGAGTGATTTCCTACATTCAGTAATCACTGGGGCTGAGTGTGATGGAGGATATTTATTTGTTTTCTATAGGTGCAATGATTGAGTGTGGTTGAAAAGACATGCAGTGCATGTAGTTGAATGCAGACACACATTATCTATGTGGTGAAGGAGGATCTGGGTTCACGCTGCCTCCTACTGGTTGAACTGAGATATTAAATTTTAAAAGGACATTTATTTCAAATAAAGTACATGCAAGAATCAAGCAAATATGCAAAATACTTTTTTAATCAACCAGTGTTTAAAAAAAAACACTTATTAAACTAATTAAGAAAACATACAGACATGGCGAACTATACAAAGCAGTACGACAAAGACAAAAACAACAGATATATATATATATATATATATATATATGTACAAGATTAAGCATTAAAATGCCATTTTAGTAACAACATTCAATAACACAAATCTAATGACCTAATATATTGAACCGATGAACGGTTTGTACTTTATCAGTTTTGAAACACTGATAGGGTCACTGCTGTGTGTTTTGGTCAAGAATAACATGGTTTGTAAACACAACTGAACAGCCAAACGTACAATGGAAAACATGCATATACATGTAAATTTACACACATAAACACTTTATTTCAAAAGATTAAAATATAACATTAAGTATAATTATTTACAACGTTTCGAAACATTACACATATTCTTTCGGGTCATTTCAAAAACCTCTCCAACGTTTCCAGACTCACTGTGGGCATCAATGCAACTTCAAAGAAAACCCTGTAAAAAAAAAAAACAGTGATAATAAATAAATAACTCAGAATAATCAAATGCCACAATCTGGAGTATTTAAATATGAACAAACTGCTTCATTAGTCAAATGCTTTTAAGAAGTCAACGTCTGCTGTAGGCAGGCGTAACATTAAATAATACATGTCAAAATGCCAATCAGGTTTGGGAAGAGCTTCAAAACAACACGGCAGTCATGCTGAGACTCAGATCACCAAATAGAATCCAAAATTTCTAAACATGAATTATGACTAAACTTCATCCATCTAAACTTCTCAACTGAAGTATAATTTGTCCCAAATGCTTTCTTTGCAAGGCTTGCCAACAAACTTTAAAAGCACATGATTTATATATTTTTAAAAAACAGCAAACAACTCAGAAATGTTTAGACATAAACAGACCCAGCAAGAGAAACCTTTAAGTATTTGAATGGCTGAGATAAGCTATGTCTTTGAACATTGCCGTACAGCATTTTGAGGTAATTAAAAAAATAAATAAAAAAATCTAATAAAGTTGAAAAAAAGAGAAAAAACTTTAGAAACAGCAAACAAACTAAAACTGTTCAGACCATAAACACACACAGCAAGAAACCTTTAAGTCAAAAGTGTATTTGAATGACAGAGATTAAAAAAAATAAATAAATAAATAAAACATCTAAATCTAAACATTTTGAATTTTGGGGTAAATAATAATTATAATTTTTTTAAAGGAAAATCTAAGTTTTATAAAAACAAAACAAAACAATCTATATGTTCAGGCCTGAGATAACTGGAGGGAGTAAAAGTAGAAACAAAGAACTTACTATTCTGGTTAAAAATGCACAATTTAAACTGCACTGATGACTTACTTGTGTGCATACTTGCTCCTGACGACGGCGAGTTTACTGTCCGGCGGGCTGATGAGCATATCATGAAGTTTTCTGACCACGGGTGCCAGATCCTCCACACTGTATCCAGAGTGGAACTTCAAGCACTGTGTCTGGAAACAGAAGTGGAACATCAGTCAAAACCTTCACACAAACACTGAAGTGTAATTGTGAAGCCAGATATCTGTGAAGCTTGGAGGAGTCTAATGACTGTTACATAAGGGATGTGAGCCTTTAAGACTCCTGCCAAATATTTCATGATGTGAAAAGAAAATGCCCCTGAGCTGTCAATAATTTGAGGATATGACGGCAACAACATCCGGAGAGAATGTAAATGAATGCGGAAGTGTGTGTGCGGTGGTTTTTTAAAGGTAATTGAACTTCTTCATCTCTGACTTCTCCGTAGAGCCACACAGGACACAAACCAAACAAAGTCCAGCTTCACTCTCATTAACCAAAATACCTTTGTCACAGTCTTAAAGGACAAACCAACCCCCTACTTAAGAGTGTGAATGTGTGTGTGTGTGTGTGTGTGTGTGTGTGCAAGGACAGAAATGAACATCCGTAATGAGCAGTTACCAGGCCATCACAGAGCTGTCGTCAGCTTTAGCTCATTTAGTGCTATCAGAAGAGCACAGAATACCCAAATCACAGCACACAGGGATGTAGAACTCACTGTGAAAGTGTGTCTATGTGTGTATCACCAAGGAACGGTGGCATTTTGTGAAGAAAAAAAAAACCGGTATAATTCATGAGCTCTGTGCTTGTGCATACATTTTAAAAGCATAAAGGTAAACACATACCCATCCTCCAAGATCCTTAGTAACCAGAGCGATGAGCAGACAGGCAGAGGCGAGCAAAGATGCTCTCACAGGCACAAACTCCATCTCCAGCAAACTCAGCTCACAAATAAAGCGCGCCAGAGTCAGTGTGTCCATACCTGCATTCACACACTGCCGGGAGACGAGAGACGGTTAATCATCACACACGCCACAATGAGCATCCATACACTGACAAACTGCAGAGAGGTGAAGTAGAATTTTATTCACATACAAAATACACACACACACACAGAGAGAGTCAGTAGCAGTGCCAGTACCTTCAGGCCACGCAGAAAAAGTATACAAAGCTCACTCAACCTTCCAAGATTCTGCAGTTTTCATTCTCGGCAAATTCAGCGCACAATTACTAAAAGAAGTGCTTCAGTGAGCCATAGCATGAAAGCATTTAAATGTAAACATCTGAAATTTAAAAGTTTACTAGCTTGATTCTTGAATGTTCTATCCTTTGAAGGAATAGTTCATCCAAATGTTCATCCGAACAAAATAATTTTTGAAGAATCTTCAGGCAGATCTTATACATAAACCAATTCATAGTGAGTAGTGATCATTGCTGTTTAGCTCAAAAAAGAATAAAATAATAAAAAATACAAAAACAAATACAGAAAAAATACAATGTGCTCAAAGGGGTCATATGATGCAATTTCAAGTTTTCCTTTCTCTTTGGAGTGTTACAAGCTGTTCGTGAATAGATAAGATCCATAAAGTTGCAAAGACTAAAGTCTCAAATCCAAAGAGATATTCTTTATAAAAGTTAAGACTCGTCCACACCCTCCTAAAACGCCTCGTTTAAACACGCCCCCACATGTCTACGTCACTGTGTGGGAAGATTTGCATAATGCCGCCCAAATGTTCACGCATAGAAAGAAGGCGTAACTTTATTGTTGCTGCCACCGACTCCGCCATGTTGTGAAGACGCTGTGTGTTTCATTGCGAAAGCGAAAATACTTTGTTTGGCCTTCCAAAAGAGGACAATATCCGCTTCGTCATGCCTAGAGCTGATCCATGCTGGTTGCTGAGGAAATACATCAACTTCGCGCTGTAGTTTTGAGCAGTGTAGAGTAGTGATTTTGTTTTCTCGTCTCTACGATCACAAATGCAGACATGGTTTTATGTTTACGCGGCGCGATGCAATGCAATGCGTAAAAAGACAGTATAAGTCATTATAATCAGTAATTATGTCCCCACTGGATGCAACAAATGCCTTGTTTATAATGGGTTTTATTGTTTTTGTTTCGTCGCTCCGGGACACGGCATCACAGTATGGTAGGGGCGTAACATTTCTGTCACACGCTTGAGGAATTCGGCCAATCACAACGCACTGGATAGCTGGCCAATCACAGCACACCTCGCTTTTTTAGAACAATGAGCTTTGTAAAAATCGACGCGTTTCAGAAAGGCGGGGTATAGAGGAGAAACAATAATGTACATTATGTGAAAAATAATGTGTTTTTTTAACCTTAAACCGCATAAACACATTTCATTACACCAAATACACAACATAATGTTCTTTTTAGCAACGTCATATGACCCGTTTAAAATAGCATTGGTCATTATGAACTTTGGAAAAAACCTGCACAAACATTCTTCAAAATTTCTTTTAATAGACCCTACTATTATGAAGTTTGGAGTCGGTAAGATTTTTAATGCTTTTGAAAGAAGACTTTTATGCTTAGCAAGGCTGCATTCATTTGATCAAAAATACATTAAAATAGTAAAATTGTGAAATAAATATTATTATCATTTAAAATAACAGTTTGTTGTTTTAAAGGGGTCATATGATGCTGCTAAAAAGAACATTATTTTGTGTATTTGGTGTAATGAAATGTGTTTATGCGGTTTAAGGTTCAAAAAACACATTATTTTCCACATACTGTACATTATTGTTTCTCCTCTATACCCCGCCTTTCTGATCTTTGGATTTGAGACTTTAGTCTTTGCAACTTAACAGATCTTCTTTATGCACCAAGAGCTTGTAACACTCCAAAGAGAAAGGAAAAATTGAAATCGCATCATATGACCCCTTTAAAAGTATTTTACAATGTAGTACATTCCAGTGATGCAAAGCTGAATTTTCAGCAGACATTACTCCAGTCTTCAGTGTGACATGATCGTTCAGAAATCATTCTTATATGCTGATTTGATGCTCAAGAAACATTTCTTATTATTATCAATATTATGATGCTTAATACTTTTGTAGAAACCATATTACGTGTTTTACAGGATGAATAGGAAGTTCAAAACGACAGAAATCATTTGTAAGATTATAAGTCTTTACTGTCACTTTTGATCAATCGAATGCACCTTTGCTGAATAAATTTTTTTATTATTATTATTATAAAGACTGTTTATTTAAAAAAATACTCTAAAATGATTAAATAAATAAATAAACAAATACATACATACATGAAGTTATTTTATTATGTGATTAAAAAAAATATAATAATAAAATAAAAAAAACAGTGGAGTGATGTGAGCCACATTAGTGCAGCTGTGTAGAACACTGGTTTCCCGGAACGGTCAATTTAGTGGTCATTATACAAAACTATTTGACTGAATCACGGGACCAACCAATCAGAACCAAGTATTTCAGAAACTCTTGTAATAAATCATGGTACTGAATGAATGTTCATGTTCCACATTAGTATGCTGATTTGATGCTCAAGAAACATTTCTTATTATTATCAATAATGAAAACAATGAATACTGACTGCACTCAACATTTTTATGGACTTATTATTTTTGTGGAAACCACGATACATATTTTTCTTAATTCTTGGTTTAACTAAATTATTTGAAACAGAAATCTTTTCTGACATGATAAATGCCTTTACTGTCACTTTTGATCAATTTAATGCATACTTGGTGAATAAAAGTATTACTTAAAAAAATATGAAGTAAGTAAACTATCCCTTTATCAATAAACACAGTCAAGAAAAGTCTGAGTTTGTCTACTGTGCCCTAATCGCTTGAAAAAAAAAAAAAAACTTTGTATAAAGTCCCTAGATAAAAGCTTTGGCATGAATAAGTGTAAGTGATCTGCTTTGTCTGCGTGCTGTAATTGCTTTTTTTTTTCAGAAAATTAAGCCACCAATTAAAAAGGATTTTATTTTTATTGTGTTATTCTCTTAATTAATGTTCTTATAATTGAATATAATGGTATTATTTGTCAATGTGCACTTAAGAAGCTAATTTCTTTGCAGAAAGACCAATCAGTAAAACCAGACATTCTGCCAACAAATAAAAACAGTGTTAAATCGCAGAGCTTTAACTAAAGCTCAATTAATTCGAGAATGAGAATGAGAAAATGAGAATAGATCTGACAGCAGCAAACAGCAACAACCAGAGACAGCTGGGTCATACAGTGGGTACGGAAAGTATTCAGACCCCCTTAAATTTTTCACTCTTTGTTATATTGCAGCCATTTGCTAAAATCATTTAAGTTAATTTTTTTAGCCCTCCACCAGTCGGGGCTTTATGGCAGAGTGGCCCGACGGAAGCCTCTCCTCAGTTCAAGACACATGAAAGCCCGCATGGAGTTTGCTAAAAAAACACCTGAAGGACTCCAAGATGGTGAGAAATAAGATTCTCTGGTCTGATGAGACCAAGATAGAACTTTTTGGCCTTAATTCTAAGCGGTATGTGTGGAGAAAACCAGGCACCTGTCCAATACAGTCCCAACAGTGAAGCATGGTGGTGGCAGCATCATGCTGTGGGGGTGTTTTTCAGCTGCAGGGACAGGACGACTGGTTGCAATCGAGGGAAAGATGAATGCGGCCAAGTACAGGGATATCCTGGACTAAAACCTTCTCCAGAGTGCTCAGGACCTCAGACTGGGCTGAAGGTTTACCTTCCAACAAGACAATGACCCTAAGCACACAGCTAAAATAACGAAGGAGTGGCTTCACAACAACTCTGTGACTGTTCTTGAATGGCCCAGCCAGAGCCCTGACTTAAACTCAATTGAGCATCTCTGGAGAGACCTAAAAATGGCTGTCCACCAACGTTTACCATCCAACCTGACAGAACTGGAGTGGATCTGCAAGAGGGAATGGCAGAGGATCCCCAAATCCAGGTGTGTAAAACTTGTTGCATCTTTCCCAAAAAGACTCATGGCTGTATTAGATCAAAAGGGTGCTTCTACTAAATACTGCGCAAAGGGTCTGAATACTTAGGACCATGTTATATTTCAGTTTTTCTTTTTTAATATATCTGCAAAAATGTCAACAATTCTGTGTTTTTCTGTCAATATGGGGTGCTGTGCGTACATTAATGAGGAAAAAAAATTAACAAATGATTTTAGCAAATGGCTGCAATATAACAAAGAGTGAAAAATTTAAGGGGGTCTGAATACTTTCCGTACCCACTGTACACACACACACACAGATTCCTCCGGGAATACAGAGGAAACAAAGAGGTCACACCTGACAAACACAAAGACATTCAACGCATGCCACCCTGCATGATCTTTCTTTCTGACTTTGACAAACACACACACACTTGATGTTAATCCTGGTGTGTGTCAGCTGACTCCAAAGGAGTTCCACCTGTCTCCTCAGTGAGGGTATATGCGTGTGTTTTCTCTCACCTTGGCATAGCGACGGAGGAAGCGGTATGGAACCGGAATATTGATGTCAAAGTTCAGCGCCTGCAGGATGCTGATTTCCATGGCGATGAGCTGAGAACGCTTGTAGGCATCATCACAAATATATAAGAAATCATCCAAGCAAGGTGGAGCTCGCTCCTGTGAGGATACACCAGAGAGATGATGGGTAACAACTGACAAATCACACAGTACTCACTGTTTTGTTAAAGCATGCAATATGTATATTGTGCATAGTATACAAAAATACAGCACACTGTGTTACTGCAACCCACAATGCAAAGTCAACTTGACCTTCTTTGTCTAGTGAGAGGGTTGTGATTTACAATATCCCTTTTTAGACCTATTTGATCGAACTGGCAAAAGGTATTTTTACACAAAATAGTATAGAAATGCACAAAAAATAATTATTTCTGAAATTATTAAAGGGGCCATATGATGCGATTTTTCTTTGGAGTGTTACAAGCTCTTGGTGAATAAAGAAGATCTGTAAAGTTGCAAAGACTAAAGTCTCAAATCCAAAGAGATATTCTTTATAAAAGTCACGATGTGGGAAGATTTGCATAACGCCGCCCAAATGTTCACGCAAAGAAAGAAGGCGTAACTTATTGTTGTTGCCCCCGGCTGCACCGTTCTCAAGCCCACCGGCCTCCGCTCACTCTAACGCTCCAGCCGCCGCTCACTCTACCCCACTGTGTGTGACGCGGTGTATTTTGTTGTGAAAGCGAAACTACTTTGTTTGGTCTTCCAAAAGAGGACACGACTAGAAATCAGTCGTTAAGTTGTATTTACAACACTGTTCCAGAACAGTTCAACCCAAATATTCATTTGTGTGCAGCCCATTTTATGGAGGACTGTTTCCTGATCCTGGGAGAGTAACGTTTCAGACGCGAGCTCCACTTCAGTTCAGCGCCAGGCGCGAGTCAAGCGAGCGCGGATACGGTCCTGTGCTCGCAGCGCGTGCTCTTCAATTGCACGCACAAAGGCGCCGGCGCGTGCTGTAGCCTGTATCCTTTCATATCAAAGAGCGAAATAAACTACGTGCATGCAATGTCGTGGTCAGTTAAGTCATGAAGTTACCAAAAAGGCGATTAAAGCTGCCTTAAATGCATGTAATATATTTTATATGAGTCACATTAAGAACATGTCTCTGAAATGGTTTTCAAAACTGTCCTGGAGCAGCCCAGCGCTGTCTCACTCATCTAACACACCCGATTTAACTCGTCAGCTCGTGTTTATTTTAGCACTTCCGTCAGTGAATACGCAGCCTGCAAAACACTAAAATAAATATCAAAGAAATAATACAGTTAAACAAGAAAGTAGCCAAGAAAGTGAAATGCACCCTGTCTACAGGACGCGAGCTGCGCGGCGCGACAAAATACTATAAAACTCATTATAATCAGTGATGCTACACTGGATGCGGCACGACACGCCATGACAAATCCCAGACAGTAAACTGCCTCGTCCTATTTATGAGGTACTGACACAGAGTTCAAATGTCCTGTGTAGACACTAGACAGACTCTGTTGCGACGCGGCGGTGTCACATCCGGTGTAGACACTGTTTACTGTTCACCGCCAAGCTTGCGGCTCTCATTGAAATAGGAATCGTTGCCACATTTCTTGTTAAAGGGGTCATCGGATGCCCATTTTGCACAAGTTGATATGATACTTTAGGGTCTTAATTAAAGTCTATAACATACTTTGGTTAAAATTTCTCAATGGTAGTGTAAAAAACACCTTTTTAAACCTGTCAAAATCAGCTCTGTTTTTATCAAGCCATTATATATGCATTAGGTGGTAATTTGTTACATATATATATTTTTAAAAAATCTGTATGTCAAGAGTAAAAAAAGCTGAAAAAATATTCTGGATAATAAAATATTATACATTTTTTATAGGATTTGAAAGAACCTGGATTTAGACTATGAGTGCACACTTTTAATGAGTAACTACATTTCTAGTAGGTTTTGTGTGTGTGTGTGTGTGTGTGTGTGTGTGTGCGAGATAATGACTGAATGACTAAGTCATTGAGTAATTACGACTAAGCCCAGAAAAGTCTGAGTCTAAAGGAATGGCTTTCAGCTATCATGAGAAAGCATATGTCTTACCTCAAACTTAGAAGCAATGAGCATGGCAGTGGAACCAATGAGCTGTAAAGACTCCCGCTTGGCCTGGCTCACTGCCAGATAATGATCCGTCATTTTCACAGCAAGGTACAGAGTCTCATGATTCAGCTCGAAATTCTCCTGCAGAATAAAGAGCAAGAATAAAGCCACATCAGTGCTTAAGCCACCAAAAGCCAACAACGTTTTACAAGACTTATCAAAACAGCACATTTGAAACGAGGCCAAACACTGACACTTACCTGGACCTCAACCAGCCAGTCCACCAGAATCGCTCTCATATTGCTGTTTAGATTTGGCTGATCAGCCATGTAGTCATGCAAGACAAATGTTTCCTGCAAATAAAAGAAATACAACACTTCAGCTTGATGTCTGTTCCTCAATTTGCAAGATCATTAATGAACTCACTACTAAGCCAACCTCTCTGCTCTTGAGGTAGTCAAAAATATCTTTAGCGTACTCCACTGTATGTGTAGAGTCACTGAGGTGCTCTGAATCAATGTCAAACTCAGGAGGAATCTGAAAGACAGAAGATAAAGGTTTTTTTATGTTTATAAATCTGTAAAAAAAAAAAAAAAATCCAAACTCCCGATAACCCCCAAAATATTAAAGGATATGACCGGCGGGAAGAATTTAATGAGTGATCTTTAATTACATTAGCATTAATTTGAATTTCCTTTTTCACTTCTGCTTCTACATTTAAAGGGGTCATATGATGCGATTTCAATTTTTCCTTTCTCTTTGGAGTGTTATAAGCTCTTGGTGCATAAAGAAGATCTGTAAAGTTGCAAAGACTGAAGTCTCAAATCCAAAGAGATATTCTTTATAAAAGTTAAGAGTCAGCCACACCTACCTAAAACGGCTCGTTCTAACACACCCCCACATACCTACGTCACGATCTGGGAAAATTTGCATAACGCCGCCCAAATGTTCAAGCAAAGAAAGAAGGCGTAACTTTTATCCTCGCTGTAGTATTGTTGTTGCAGTTCAACCCAAATATTCAGATTTGTGCAGCACATTTTATGGAGGACTGTTTCCTGATCCTGGTAGAGTAGACTACAATGATAGTTATATTTATGAAAATTATATTTAAAAATTTGCCACTGACGATTCAAACGCGAGTTTTTTGGGCAGTGTAGAGTAGCACTTGTTGTTTGTCATTTCTCCGATCACAAATGCAGACATGGTTTTATGTTACGCTCCGGCCTGACAGGGCATCACAGTATGGTAAGGGCCGTAACATTTCCGTCAAACGCTTGAGGTATTCGGCCAATCACAACGCACTGGATAGCTGGCCAATCAGAGCACACCTTGCTTTTCAGACCGATGAGCTTTGTTAAAATCGACGCATTTCAGAAAGGCGGGGCATAGAGGACAAACAATAATGTACAGTATGTGGAAAATAATGTGTTTTTTGAACCTTAAACCGCATAAACATTTCATTACACCAAATACACAAAATAATGTTCTTTTTAGCAGCATCATATGACCCCTTTAATGCAATATGTCTGTGGGGTTTCTTTTTGGCAGTAAACAGCTCCAAACTTTTAAACACCTTGGAACAACTGGGTATTTACATTATCATAAATATTCACATTCATGCCAATTCTGTCATGGTAGAATAATATCCTGATCTTAATAATCATGGCACCAGTGCAGCAGACTTAGGTCTTACCTCTGGAGGCAGTAGGTGTGGAGGAATTGGAGCTTTGAAAGAAGGTTCTTCCAGTTTCTCAATATTGCATTCCACGTTCTTCAATTCCTCTAACTTTTCCTCTGAATTTATCACAGATCTGAGAGAAGAAAAGATAAGCAATCTGCATATTCTGGGCCAATCATCTCAAAGAACTTGCAAAACACCGCAATGTAAGGTAGGGTAAAGATAAAGAGGCAATAAAATATGGCTTACTTTAAGCTGACATCATTCTTAGAAAGTACTGAGACCTTCTTCTGCAGTTTTTTGACAGGATCTTTCTTCTTGATGGGGTTGCTTATCTTGTGCGCCTTTTAACAAAAGTGCATTTTAAGAGTTTTAAAGAGTGGATTTTCACTAAAGAACAATCTGCTGAGATTTTGTTAAGACGAGCATGAGTCACACCAAATCAATCAAATTGGTTTGATCTGAGATTCAGAGAGAATGAATAGGTGTTAGACAACGGCGAATAGAGCCATCATAATTTGCATATGAGAGCACCTCACCTGGAAACCAGACACACCAAAGGAGTGCCCATCTGAGTTAATAAAAGGTGAGATCTCCTGCTTTTGTGTACAGTCTGTAATTTACTGCTTGAGCATGAATGGGATTTTTTATGAGCTCATGCCGATTTGCATCATTCAAGCAAACTCCTGGTGTTAGTGGGGTTACAACATAGACGCTTAACACTTACTGCGCTTAACACTTCAGAATCAAACCGAGGGGCCAAAAAACACCAAGAGACAGCCTAGTCAGGCAACACGAAAGCAATAAAACTGTGGTGCATGTACACAAAAGCATGTATGAACAAAAATTTAAATAGCACCCTTACATTGGTGATGTCCACAAAAGCAGTTCTTTTCTTACGGGCCCCGTGGGGAGAAGAAGATGAGCGCTTGGTCTGAGGGCCATCCTGCTTAAACACATCAATACAATATTGATCAGATCAACATCAATCAAATCAACAAAGCTCTAATTCGTTTTCATATCTGATCTAATCTCATTGTATAACCTGGTTCTCCAGTCCTTTGGGGTTAAATTTGGGGATTTTACTGGTGGTTCGCTTCTTTCCTCTTGAAAAAGGCATCTTGTAGTTGTTCTGATCCTTCACAGTTATATCCTCTTTCAAATGTGAAGTATACAAAGAATGAATGAAAAACTAAAGATCACTATGCACCAGTGCACTAGTGCACACTTCGATCAAACACACACACACTCATTGTGCTCACAAGGTTACTAAACTTTCAAACAAAGCTTGGTATAGAAATTGTTTTGACCGCAGGAAGCATCAAGTCCGTCGTTAAACAACAACATGCCCGCGACTGTTTCGTTTTTAATTTTGCGACAAATTTCATAACTGCACAAAAACGATCTTACCTTTTCACCATACGCTGAACAACCTCAATTAAAGCAGGAAAATATTTTGAAAGAGAATATGTGCAAACATCCACGAAAAGTACACTGAAAAGCTATCCAGACTGAAACAGACACACCGCACTACGGTCTGCGTGCGTCCAAAACTAAACGCAGCGATTTGATTGGCCGACTGTACTTCGCTGTAGGCCAATGAGCGTCGAGCTAGGATGCCGTTGTTAAGGGGCGGTACAATAGAATTTTCAAAAACACCCTAGCAACCAATAGGAATAGAGCTCGTCTTCCTTTGACTTTTGAGTAAGCGGACGGTGAGAGACATGTGCTTAATGACACCAACTGAGGTTCTGTTTATTAGATAAAATAATTGTAATAATATTACGTAACTGCTTCGCTTATTGTGAACATTATTTATATTATTGTCTTCACAATGAAGCCACACCTCCCAGCCACCCACACGCACACTCACGCAGTGCATGTCTTTCACACAGGAAATCAGCTTTGTCTGCAAACTGCCTGTGGCCCCATCATTCACATACTCAGGTCTATCAAGACGAACTTGTTTGACTGATATCCCTCAACAAGGTATGGAGAAAAAAATATATTTTTACAAGTGTATGAAGAGGTGAATTTATTTAGTTAATTATCATCACTTATATTATTATTTTATTTAATTTTTTAACTTTTTGCAGAATTTATTTTAACTTATCTATTTATTTATTTAATTATATATATATATATGTTTTACTTAAATTATATTTTCCCTTCTTGCTTTTGCCCTCTTGTTTGTCACCAATAGAAAGTTATTTATTATGTGCAAGATGGATTCAGTTGTATCTCAGTGCTATAAAATATGGGGATGAAAAATCCGTTATGTAACATTTGATATTAGGTTCCATCTATTACTGGTAAGATGTCTTTCATACTCAGCAGCAATTTTTTTTCTTTGTTCTACAACCAAAAAGTGCTCTTAAAGCGTTTCGTACATGCTTTTACTTCTCAATATCTTTTAGCAATACCAGGAAATACGATGAATCCCACCTTCTACAGCTTTTATTTAATGGGGCATTTGATGTCAAAGAGCATTGCATTTCCTTGAACCAGTTCGATCACACATTTTATTAATGCCTAGAAAATTTCTCCTTTGAGTGTTTCATGTTTCCTTTGAAAATGTCAAAGTATTATAACACATAAACAATAGATTAGAACACCAAAGACTTTTCAAGGTTATGTCCTCCTCAACACCGCCCAGGAGACCTTTTATTTCCAATTCTCTTTAAATGTACTCAAAATCTAACTTGAACCGACGGCAGCTAACAGGTTATGCATGTGTTGTTGCGTTCATTGCCAAATTAAATAAATATGTGGGTGCTGCCGCTGACTCAAAGTGCTTTACAAGTGTTAGTGTGAGGTGATGTTTATCAGAGCTTAAACAGACATCCTCTCACAAGCCTCTTTTCTGTTTCTCTTCACACTCATAAGGCAACCTTTGTTTCGTTGGATAAAGGTTGCCTTATGATCTAGATACAATGATCTTTCATATCAGTCTTAATTATTAAGAGAAAGTCTGCAGAAAAAATGTAAACTGAAACATCTACCCTCATACGTTCATACTTTCCTGTCAGTCACATGACCTAGTTCCTATAAGAGCAATTCTTTGATCACTTGCGGTTTTCAGTTCTTTTTCTGCTTATTTAAGACTCGCTTTTCTTTCGTTGTTCTTGGATTAATTTAGTCGGTCACGTATCAGTGTTTTGATTTTAAATGTACTTTACTTTGCGCCATTCCTGAACTCTAATATCACCATTATCACATTTTTAGCTCTCAGGATGTACTAGTCAAACACTTTAGTTAATGTTATCTATGGATAAAATAAGGTGTTTATGGGGTGCGACCATACACACCATCACAGATTGTTTTTCAAAAAACAGGGCTTCTTTTGTCCTCGGCGATAATTGAATAATATCATGGACCTCAAGAGGATTGCTCAGTCATGCCCTTGAAGATCTACCTCCAAAGAATCACAGCCTTTAGTTTCACTTGAAAATCGTTGGCAGGTATGTTAAAAAAAGAGTTGGAACAAAATTATGCAGGTTATGTCTTCAGGAGCATTATTAGGCAACCCTACACTAGAATATCAATGAACTCCTGTTAGTTTGTTGTATAAAAATTGACTGATAGTGATAAGCCGAGTAATTATTAGCCAAAAATAATTAGATGTTTTGTGCAATAATTATAATAATAATTTGTGTAAAAATAAATACAAAATAAATCACTATGTTTATTTATTATGTATTTTTATACAAAATGATTATAATTATTATAATCTATCTCTTTTTCAGATGATTAATGAGGCTTGGCTGTGCAGCTCATTAAAGCTATGTGATCTAGTCACCACTTCAGAATCTGCTCACTCTGATGTAAGTACAGAAATGTAAGACTTTTAGTATAAAAGTATATTAAATCATGCAAGTAAATACTTTACAGTTGTAAGACTTTTTATTCTCTTCTAAATTTAGTTTACAAACATTTAACACCATAGAAAAACAGCTAAAATTTAAAAGAATAAATTGTTCACTGTATAAATTGTATTAGCAACCTGTTGAAAGTCAAGTGTTCGTTTTTTTGTTATGACCTTCTCAGGACTCTGCGCAGGTCGTAATCAACAGTGATTCATACCCACAACCTGCTTATAACCTATCATCAATCCAACACACATTGGAAACATACAGCCATTTGCTGGATGTAACATTAGGACAGAACTTAGAGCCCATTCAACACTTTGCACAGATGACTGCCAAAACTATTATAGATTCAGCCATCAGGATCAGAGATCCAAGAGAATCCATCAAGCTGAGAGGGGACGATGTTGAGATGCTGGCTGAAGAGTTAACTTTACAAGTCTGTTGCAAAGCATTGGAAGAGATGGAGGGGCATCATTACTCTGATGATCCATCATCCAAAAGTGTGGACGATAAAGAGGGGACTTATGGAAATGCATCGGCCCTGTGCTCCTCAGGGTACAACTGTGACGATAATTGAATAATATCATGGACCTCAAGAGGATTGCTCAGTCATGCCCTTGAAGATCTACCTCCAAAGAATCACAGCCTTTAGTTTCACTTGAAAATCGTTGGCAGGTATGTTAAAAAAAGAGTTGGAACAAAATTATGCAGGTTATGTCTTCAGGAGCATTATTAGGCAACCCTACACTAGAATATCAATGAACTCCTGTTAGTTTGTTGTATAAAATAAACTTTATCATGGCTCAAAAAAAAAATATATATAATTTCATACCCACAACCTGCTTATAACCTATCATCAATCCAACACACATTGGAAACATACAGCCATTTGCTGGATGTAACATTAGGACAGAACTTAGAGCCCATTCAACACTTTGCACAGATGACTGCCAAAACTATTATAGATTCAGCCATCAGGATCAGAGATCCAAGAGAATCCATCAAGCTGAGAGGGGACGATGTTGAGATGCTGGCTGAAGAGTTAACTTTACAAGTCTGTTGCAAAGCATTGGAAGAGATGGAGGGGCATCATTACTCTGATGATCCATCATCCAAAAGTGTGGACGATAAAGAGGGGACTTATGGAAATGCATCGGCCCTGTGCTCCTCAGGGTACAACTGTGACAAAAACACATCTGAAATGGAAACAGACAACAAGATGGAAGAATATGATGACACATCTACCACAGTATATGCTACTTCGTTGAAAAGCATGGCTAGTCTGGGCTCTATTGAGTACCCTGATGCTCCTCCAAGCACCCCTTTACTTCCAGAGATGATCAGGAGTCGAGACAGTTTCACAAGGAAGCTCAAGGGAGGACTGGCTAAAGAGTTCCTTCCTTCACCCCCTCCACCGACCCCCAAAGACCACATGCAACCATTAATGGAGAACCAAATGACAGACGCGTCTGCTGACTTCATGGTGAGACTGATGCGCTCACTTTCACTGGAGTGCTGTCAAAATGGAGGTCTGGAAGAAGACGAGAACAGAGAAGTTGGTGATAGCGGACTCCAAAACGATGTTCCCGGGCTAACTGACTATGCAGCTCAAATTTCTGCAGATATCCTTCATTTTATCACCACAAATGAGATAAAAGTCAAGGATGAGGGTTGTGTGCAAAGCATGTGGGCTATTACTGACCAACTGGCGAGTGAAATTGTCACAACGTCTCTAGCAGAGGTGATGGCGAGAGGAGAATGGAAAGTTTTGGAGGAAGAAACAACATCATGCTCAAAGTATAAGGTAGATGTGGCTCCAGACACAAAGTCTAAGATCTCTGCAACAGACGGGGTGAAAGTTTTAGCTAGTGAGCTAATCATTAATGCTATGGTTCATACTTTTGCTAAGCTAGGACAGGGTGTGTATAAACATGGAACTCAGCCACATCTTTCGGGCCAAACTGTAGAACCACAGCCATGGGAAGAAGGAAGATATTCAAACACACTGTGTAAAGACTCAATCAACTCCCACAAAGTCAAACCCTTCAGATGTTGCAGCGATAAATCAGAACTGAACCCTATTACAGATGACGCCATAAAAGTGAAATCATCGGTAGACACATTTGCCAACGACTTTGCAGAAGACGTGCTTCAGCATTCTGTGTGTTTACTGTTCAACTATAAGCAATCTCAGGGAGCAGGATTTGGCCCAGAGAAAGACATTAAACCATGGCTAATCAAAATGTGTGCTGGGGAAAGTCCTGTCCAGGAACTGCAGTGTGCTCTACTCTGGGCCGCAGCCTCTCAGAAAGGGACTAAAGCACTTCAGTTTGAGCTTCCAGACAAAAGCCTTCAACAAAAGGTACAGAATATTACAGTTTTCACAGACTGACTTTTATATAGCCTAATAAAGGAAAACGTGCCTGGTTGTAACACTGTTTTTCTTTAAGGCCATTTACACTAAGGACAAGAACTATAATGATTACTATAAAGTTTTAAACATCGTTTAATTCTGTGAGAATAGGAACGTCCACACCGCAGCTATAACAATAACGACACAGGAAAATTATTACTTTGGAATGATTTTTTCCAACTCATGAACAATAAAAATACTGACAGCCAATCCATCCGGTTTTAAAGAGCTCGAACATTTAAAGCAGCAGATGACCTAACTATCATGCACTTATAAAGTATGTTAGCACCCATTGGTGTGTATGTTAATATAATCATTCTTGGTAAGAACAGGTCTTTAGCTATGATGTGAAATTCTCTATTCTCATAGAATTAGAATGCTTATTAAAATGTAAAGCTTATCGTTATAGTTATGGTTCTTAGTGTGAATGGGCTTTAACGCTGTATTTTTGAGGTGAGTTGTAACAGTAGGTTACCTATGACATGGACACTGTTTTTCTTCAAGGCCATTTACACTAAGGACAAGAACTATAATGATTACTATAAAGTTTTAAACATCGTTTAATTCTGTGAGAACAGGAACGTCCACACCGCAGCTATAACAATAACGACACAGGAAAATTATTACTTTGGAATGATTTTTTCCAACTCATGAACAATAAAAATACTGACAGCCAATCCATCCGGTTTTAAAGAGCTCGAACATTTAAAGCAGCAGATGACCTAACTATCATGCACTTATAAAGTATGTTAGCACCCATTGGTGTGTATGTTAATATAATCATTCTTGGTAAGAACAGGTCTTTAGCTATGATGTGAAATTCTCTATTCTCATAGAATTAGAATGCTTATTAAAATGTAAAGCTTATCGTTATAGTTATGGTTCTTAGTGTGAATGGGCTTTAACGCTGTATTTTTGAGGTGAGTTGTAACAGTAGGTTACCTATGACATGGACTAAAGTTTTCATTTTGCACATGCATTTATATTGAAAATCAAATTTTATTTGTTCAGTATTATTTTGATACCAACCCTCAATCATTTTGATCATTTTAATCATTAAATCTTAATCATTTTAAGCATTTTAATTCAAAATAGTAAGAAAAAGAAAACATTTTATCCCAAAACAATTTTTGAATAAATACATAAAACATAGGCTAACAATTGGTTTGGATGAAGAAACCTTATCGCAAATCCCAGAATTGGAATTTTATCCTGAAAAACTGACAGTGTTACAACTCACCCAATTTTGCAACTATTAGTTGCTGAGATAATAGCTTTGAATTTATTAACATAAGTTTGAATTCATATTGGAAATCAAATTTTACTTGTTCAGTATTATTTTATACCAATATCCAGTCAATCATTTTTAACATCACAATTCGAAAATTTCAGAAAAAGGAAACATTTTATCACAAAAAAAAAAAAGATTAAATAAATACAATAAAACATGTCAGTAACAATAGCATAACAATTAAAAATATTTGCATTGAGGTCGCAGTAGAAGTAAATACAGAAACTTATTCATAAATCAAATTAAAACCCGGAAGTGAATTGAATAGATTTTTCTTTCTGAAAAGGAATTTGTCCTGTCCCGTACACCCTTTTTAATAATTTCTAAGTTGTTAAACTGACTCACCACATTTTACAACAATCCTAGTTGCCATCTTATACAATAGCTTTGAGTTTATTACAAGAATATTAGGAAGCATTATAATTATTTGATGGCATTCATTATACTACCCATACAAGCTGAATAGCTGCCAATCATTTTAATTAAAAGTCCTCACAATGAATTCAATCATTTTCACTGTAAAATAATTGTATTATTTTTTTCTTACTTTCCCGTAGCTTTGCAGACTCTCTCGGAGTGCCCGTCTGAATGGCTGGACGGTGGGTGCTTTGATGGCTTCTCTCGATGAGTTTTGTGACATGCATCAAGAGACCAGCAGAGGGCTCCATAAGAGCTCCGATTCTCTCCTGGAGCATCTGCAGCACCTGATTGACAATGTGCGTTTAAACGGATCCTGAAGCTTTACCCTTGCAGAACTGGTCAGTGATCCATGCAACACCCCCTGAAATAAAGACGGAAAACGGCAGACATTAATCTTCATCCACACAATCTTTCACATCCCAAACATTAATAAAAGGAGACAAAGTCATAACAAAGCATACACAGTTATAATCAATTTCTCTCTGACCCATTGAAAATGAGCCCTTAAAGACGAAACAGCTGCATGCACGCTGTCTGTTTATACCGAAATAAGATCTGCTCTCCCGGTCCAAGCGCTCAAACCACAGCCATTATTAGGTAAACGGAAATCTGACTACAAATCAGCTTTGGAAGTTACTACCACCCAAAACACACTGACACATTCTTGACCAAAGATCCTGTATTCTGTATGTTCCCGTGTTGTTATTTTCCAAAAATATGTCAGTACCTATAATAAAGTGTGTCTGAAAATGATAAACAGTGAATGCTGTATTGTTGAAGCTGTTTTATGATGGAGCTGCGGGGGGTGTAAAAGGCAGGACTATTTTACTGCATCCCATTAATACTCCCCAAGCACTGATACCTAACATGGCAGGAATGCGCTTTAGCGAAAACCTGCATCCCACTCACTCCCACTCTTGGCGACCACAGCTTGAAAATCAGGGCCACGCAAACAAAATCACACATACTCATTCTGTGACCCTCTGCCTCGCTCTATCAGTCTCCCAGACACGCTCCTTCTTTCACTTTCTCTCTCTCCCGCACACACACGCGCATATTCTCATACACAAGGGGGACTGACTTCACAGCTGCAGTGTCAGTGAAGACACAATGGCTTTCAGTCCAGCCCCGTTATACGCATCTGGAGAAGTGTTTGTTCCAGTGTCTGAGGAACCATCGCTGCCAAAAATGAGAGACGGCGAAAAAACGTGCATAAGGAAAAAAGATAGCAGGAAAAGGGAGTGGGGAAGAGAGAGAAGGGACGAAGTGATTGCAACAGAGCTGACACATATAGAGTCAAATGGATCATGGGGGTTCTGGAAAATCTCCCAACACACCCCACCCTTTTCGATTTATTCTCTACAATGAGAGCCAGACAGATGTAAAGGAATTCCTTACACTAAACAGGCCTCATAGACTTAATGTACTCATATATTTTCTATTCGTATCGCTCAAGCCTAGCGAAGCACTGAAGCGCCGCGACTTAAGTCAACAGGGATGGCAAGCAATCCTTCGTATTTCTATGATCAAACGGGCCATAAAGGAGCCGACGGAGAAGGGAGACTGCATAAAAGTCTAAATAAATTCTAATAAAATGAGTACAATACATTTAACATGTTTGCACTGGAGAATAGGGATGTGTGTGCAGGTTTATGGAGTTTTCACTCTTTGTAGGCCATATCGATCATGACGATAAGGTCATCGCATGGAAAACATGACATTTTCTCTGTGATCTGCAGTTCGTAATGTGATACAATGTGTGCCATGCTATAGTAAAGGGAAAGTTCACTTAAAAACCAAAAACGCATTATCGTTTACTCACCCTCATGTTGTTCCAAATTGGTTTGAGTTGCTCTCTTTCTGCAAAAGAAAAAAGGAGAAGAAAAAAAAAGAAATGACGATTTCCTGAAAATTGGCTCAAGTGTTTTTGTCCATTTTGAGATCTCACTGACTTTAATTGCATGGACAAAACACTTTTGGTCATTTTGTCCCATAACATGTCTTTCTTTCAGACTAGTGGAAAGAAAACATCCATCTATTTGCATCTGTAAATTTAAATTACATGAGTTTTTTTCTCATGCACTTGAGCCACAAAATTCCACTTCAGTAGCACTTACACCAAACTCTCTGCTTTATTCCTATCTATATTAATAATGTTTTTACCGAGGGGTTTGTTGATACAGTATATCATTTGTATATTATACAACATTTTGTTCCTAAAAATATGGTACACGTTTTTTTTTCTGGCTGTTGAAAGTATATTATAACTTGTGGAGTGAAAAAAAAGATATCCAAAGTCTTTAATTCTAGTATGTCCGCGAAAAATAAACACAAATTTTGAACCTGGCTTTGATTTATGTTCAGGAAATGTATGCAAATTAGTGCATATTTAATGAGATAATGTCTTGCTTGCCTACTTAAGCATAACATTTCAGAAATCTTGCAATACAAAACAATTGTCTTGATGTACTGTGATTTTGTATAACTCATCAGCTCAGGGGCCAGTTGCATGTACCACCACATGTCTTACTTTTCAGATTCAAATGAGACCAGTCTACCTTTTATGTAACTGACTTTACAAAGTTAATGGCAGGGTATGTGATTTTTCAAAAACACTTTAGAAAACTGATTCGGGCCGAATAGCGAAACAAACTTGTAGCCAATCAGCAATAAGGGGCGTGTCTACTAGTGATGTGGCGGAGAGAGCTTTCAGTGCATGGGACGGACATTAGCCGAGCCGAGTGACAGAAAGATAGAGATCTCTAAGCAGTTAATTCAACCAGCACCAGCTCTTTTTTCCTGTTGACAGCACTAAATGCCACTGCTAGAAATCATTCGACAGACAATCAGTAGCAGACATGAGAGATCCAGCCCTGAGGAGATGTCTCACATTAATTACTCACCCCTTTCAATGCACTTCCAAAGCAGAGACCAGCGATGATCTCCGGTCGAGGTGCGAGCATCGGTCTGGTTGGTTTTTCCGGCTGACCACGGGCCTCGACCAACCAAACATCTGACATCTGTCTTCCATCTCCACTAGATGCTAGTATAGACAAACATATGCTCCAGCTCACACATGATGCTCGTCTCCTGCAGTTTATGGCTAAAACAGACAGAAAGGCTGCAGATATATTTACAGTGTGTTGAGAGGAGTGATGTTTTGGGTCCCTTCAGTTTTACTGTGGACCGTTTATCTCAAAACGACTGGAATGTTCAAAACGGATGAAGAATGCAAGTGATAAATGTAATTTATTAGACATACTCAAATTCTTTCATCTTCAGTTGTTTTAGTCAGATGTACACAGATCATTCTAGGTCATCTTTCTTTCTTTCTTTTTTTTCTTAATATATTTTACCTTTACACAAACAAGGCTCTGTTAAGTAAGTAAAGGTAATCAAAGCTGATCCCCTTGTTATATTGTCTTTCTCAGTCACACAAATAGCCCACCAGCAATTTAGTTGGTTAATATGTCTAAAGCTCAGGTTTAACATTCATTTTTAAAACTATATAAATAAAAATGTAAACTTCTATATAAATATAGGCTAAAGGTTTTACTTACCCTGCTTTACAATAACATCTTAAACCAAAGACGGTTTATAGTTATAGAGGGGTTTACTTAAAAACTTGAAGAACAGCAAACCAGCGTAGGCTTATTTAAACCAAGCATTGTTAACCAGGGGGCCGGGTCCACCAGGGGGCCCCAGCAAACTTCCAGGGGCCTCAAGATTACTTCAAATGATTTAAAATAAGACTACAACAAAAAAATAAATAAAAAGAATAAGTAATAACAAAAACTACAAATCAAGTTTTCATATTTTAATTTAGCCCTCTTTTTCTTTTTTTTGAAGCAAGTAGGGTTCAGAATTCACGAATAGGCTAATTAATTGATTCATTAATAATCTGAAGAACCCTTTTAATTCATGGAACCATAGATGCAAGTGAAGAACTTTATTTTTAGGAGTGTAGGCCTATGAGAGTCACTAGCGCTCACAATACATAGTGCAATAAATAAATAAATAAATAACTGCCGCCGAGTGCATAATTCCTGTTAAACCAGGCGTGATGAAGATAATGTTCGCAGATAAAATGGTTTTTACGGTAATCTGTTGGACGGTCTTTGAGGTGAGTTAATCGATGATTCTTCATCGAGATCCGCCATACAATCATGAGGCTGAAACCTTTTTTCTTCTTAGGAAAAGGGATGTTTTAAGAAAATATTTGATAACTTCCAAAGAACTTATTTGTAGGGACATTCTTAAGGAATTAGTCTTTTATCTTAATTTATTTCCTGAGATTCAGAAAAAAAACTGATTTACAGTATGAAGTAGCCAAATTTAAAAAGCGTGATTTATAGACCTCGAAATGTTAGGCTATGTAAATTAATAAAATCTTATAGCTCCATGGGAATATGCATTTTTATAGTTTTGCAAAGCTTGTATCATGAAGAAATTGTAAATATTTAAAAAACAAAAAGCAAAAAAAAAAACAAACAAAAAAACGTATCCTTAATTCTCATCCATTAGGCCTAAATCATAAACAACTTGAAAAATCTGGGTCTTAAATAATGTAATCGGCAATTGGGGGCCTTGACTCAAAAATGATGGGAACCACTGGTTTAAACGGATTTCTTTAGCATGTAAAGAGAGCATTCTAGGCTTTTCTGTAATATCAAAGGTTGGGAGAGTGTGACAAATATTAGGCTATGATGTCACATTGCAGATGTTCTCAGTGGGATATCTTGTATGAGGAAAAGCGTTAATGAAGTCATTAGTTAAGTGTACCTTGAGACACTCTCGAGACTCAAGCCCTCAGCGCGCGCGCACACACACACACACACAAAAACACACACACACAAGCCTAGTCCTCCAGCATTAGTGACTGCATGCGAGTGTGGGACTGACTCTACCCTCCCACGGCCGCTCTGCGCCAACAAGAAGGAGTTTATTCAACGTCCCGTTGCTGATTTCTATTTGTTTGTCACTAACCGCGTATCTACTCACGTCTTAGGAATGCCATGGCTACTCAGAACAACCAGGATTACTTCAGGTCGGTCAGCAGCGAGTCCACCACATACATGATGGTTCCGGCGAACGGCCGCGGTCGAGACTCGCCGTCAAAGTTATGGATCGCGATGGTGGTGATCGTGGTGGTCGTGCTGCAGATCGCTTCGACCACCGGACTCTTTGTCTACTTAAACATGTCTTTATCGCAGGTAAGCTGAAGTTCTTTAAGTTGCACTGTTTATATTCTTGTTGCAGGGACCGTGACTTTAAACTTGGGGAGCTTCGTGCCAGTATTTTTGGGCATCACAGGCGCGTTCAAAAACACAGCGCACTGCCTAGACAGCATGTTTACTTGTGTTTCTCGTGCCCCTGATGCCGCAAAATGCTGTCAACTTAGGCAGCTGACTAAGTTTTGAGACACGGTTTACAGCAGAGGAAAACTTTGACCAAGTTGCAGATTCAGTAGCAGTTTTTATTCCAAGATACATAGGGAATGCTATCAGGATAGGAGGGTTTGGGATGGGAAAATTAATTCTTGTCATTTAATCTGATCATTTGTTGTTTTGTGGGGATTGACGCGTTAAAGGCTTATATCATATCAATATCATATCAACATCTTGATTCAATCAAACTGTTAGAAGAATTAAATCACATTTAATGTGTTCTTGTGGATAATCTTCTAAAAAAAAAAATGAAAAAAAAAAAACAATATACATTTTTTATATATTACACATACAATTATGATTATTATTATTATTATTATTATTATTATTAATAAAAGTCCAATACAACAAATGTCTAAACTATTTCTAAAATAAAGACAGTGTGAATAGTATCAGATTATTAACAGAAAGAATTAATTTTGCAAAACTGCACACAACAAAAAGCATGATTACCCAATCAAAAGACTGAGACAAGGAAGTCCTGCTGTTTTGCAACATTGTATTATGTTGGAAACACTTCAAAAGTTCGTATGCATGCTTTACTACCTAGTCTGGATGTCATAATTCAGCATAATAAATAGATAACAACAGGTGCTTATGAAATACACCAACACCATGAAATACAACATATAATCTTCAGATTGTTAAGATTATTGGATAAGTATCATTTTGAAAATGACCAATACACTCAGCACGTAGTGCATATCTATTATGCTCTGCCTTTTTGTGATGAAATAATGCATTTAATCATACTCTGGCCTGAAAGCTAATCATGTTGAAAAACCTAAGGGAGGTTGGGTTCTGTAAACCCGGTTAAATATTAATAAACTTTGAAAAAGTAAAATATGAAAAAATATATATGAAGTTACTAACAGGGCTGTAATACTCTCAATATAAAACTGCCCTTCGATCAGCAAACCTGTAAAATTATACCACTTGAGAAAAAAAGATTGTTTCAAATAAACGCTCTACCTCTGAAAGGAAAAAGAAAGTGAGGTAAATTCACGGTCACAATCTGAGACTATATAACAGCAGAAGCTCCCACGCAAGTTGTCACCATTGGATTTAAACAGAGTTACGGCTGACCTATTTATAAGTAACTACGATTGACAAAATCCATTTAGATTAGGTTTCGGACGAAGCTGGAAGGTGGTGCTGGGTCATGGTATTATATGGTGTCTGCTTTTGGGAAAGCAGTTTGCAGTTCAGACCAGCTCCAATCTCCTTTTCCCTCAACCGACATGCTATACATGTAGTTCTAGACAGGCCTGTCATCAACAATACCAGAAATTCACTGTAAAGCAATACCCTGCAAGCAAATGTGTGTCTCCTCTCGGGCTCCCCATGGCAAACCTCCTGTGACATTTTCCATTGCCAAGATCCACAACGTCTCAGTCTCTCACCCTCTTGTGTTCCTCTCTCCTTCATGTTCGGCCTTTATTCTTATTAAATGTTCTTCGGTCTTTCGCTCTCGTTTTCACTGTAATATTATGTTTTTTATGCAGAACATATAATTATAGTTAATTGTGGCTGCTTTTCTCTGATAATTCTTTGCGGATTCAAGTTACGTTATGTTTGCCAGGCCCAAAGAAGACATGGATAGTTTCCAGTGTTACACAGACTGGTTCAACCTTAAGTACAAAACTGACAAGAGACAAAGCTCTGGATAAATTTCACCAATATAAAGTGACTGAGATATTTAAGACTTTTTTATAATTTGCTGTCCTGCAATTAAATCGATTAGGGAGCACAGAGTAGCTTTTTATTTTCGTCGTTCCACAATAAATTAAACTAGGCCAAGCAATGATTCACTTCTCTGTATAAATCTTGCGTAACGCACAAGACGCAGAGTTTTCTAATAAATCTGAGAAGGGTTTGAAATATCTCCTGGCCTATTCCGGAGGCCCTGGTTATGATGAAGTTTCAGTCATACATGAACAAAAAGCCTTAGGAAAATATTTTCAAGGATTAAACATCCCCGTGGGGTTTGCTGAAGGATTAAATATCTTTTTTTTTTCCAAAGGGACAGTCATCAATTCAACACATTGACATGCTGAAAAAGCAAGAAAAGAAGAAAAGAATTGTGAGATAGAGTGAGAATGTGCTGAAAATAAAGACACATATGCACTGGTTTCTCTCTCTCTTTCACACACACACACACACACACACAGCTGTTGCTTAATGAACATTCTTCAGAACTAACATAAATATCCTGTGCTCACTGTTGGTGCACTGACCAGATGGGATGATCACAGTGTTGTCCTAAAAGATGAGTAAACACCTCCATTTTACCCCATTATCAGAGTTTGAAAGGACAAACAAAGCCTTGGTTTACACCAACAGGGCTGCTAATAAACAATGCAACTCCCTCATTTAGCACTATTAAACTCTGCGGACTGAATGTTCCACCGCCACATAGGGGCATTTTATCAGCCTTTATTTGACAATAATCAAAGTACTTTTCTGACGTGATTAGCCCCAAAAGTAGGGCTAATTCAGTTAAATAACTTGAGTTAAAATAAGTTCATAATTACTCCAATCTGTCCATGTCATGTTTAATTTCTGTATTGATTGCATGTGGAAGCAAAAAAACAAAAACAAATCCTGCTTCTCAGAAGTACTTAGATATTCTAGCAGGGCAAGACGACTGTTGGGGCCCCATTTGGATCGGGAAAAGAAGCCGGGGTCCACTGACAGGCACATAGTTAGTATTCTAGAAGTGTAACATTCAGTCAGACAGAGCAGAACGGGACGACGATGGCCCGAGACTTCATAGAACACCCAGAGGGCTTTAAAAACGCATCACAATGGACTCTTAATAAGGCCTGTCTTCATTGAACTAAAATGAATTGTACTTTTAGAGCATTTATTCATTTTAACATTTACTATTCAGGGCTAACCAATTAGGATTGTTTCTGATGGTCTCACAAAATAATGGTTTGCTCTCAGCAAGATAATTTTTTTGACAAGTAGTTGTTTACAGTTAAGAAGGTTTTGAACATGTACATGCAAGCTCAAGATATGACGCATCAGGTAAACTGGGTTTTCGTGATCAAACCGTGGCTTGTCAGAGGTCGTTTTTATTTTCCAGGTGAAAATAGAAACTCAGATATAGCTCAAGTGGTAAATATAACTTTCATCAGAGACATAAATACAACAAGGCTCAACATTATGCATTATGAACTAAAATGAATTGTACTTTTAGAGCCTGAAAAAAATGCATCACAGTTTACATAAAAATTAACCACACATTATCATCACGTTTTCTACTGCGATAATAATAAGAAATGTTAAATGCAGCAAATGATATCTGAAGGATCGTGTGACACTGAAGACCATGCTCAGCTTTGCCATCACAGAAATTATTTACATTTAAAATATGTAACAGTTATTGAAAATGGTAATATTTCACAATATTACCGTTTTTAATATATTCTTAATCAGATAAATGCAGCACTGGTGAGCATAAGGGACATCTTTTAAAAACATTCAAAGATCTTAAGAAAAAAAATCAGTAGTGTATATTTCTATTTTAAAATTTCTTTCACTAAACCTTTATTTCTTTACAAAAAAGAAAATATGCACCATGAATTCAAGACATTACTGATTGGTTTGTAGCTTTAACGCATTTTTACTAATGTTTTCAAAACTATCACAAATCATTTTTGCCATTTTGATAAAACCTCATCCATGTTGGCCAGAGAACAGTAACTTGTGACATATTGTGTTGAAAAGTAATGCATTTAATAATGTTACCAAATTAAACTATTACCAAACTAGCCTTTCTTATTAATGTATTTTTCTGCTTATGCTGAAGTCGTTTTAATGTGCTGATCCAGAACCAGCCCAAGCGTACCCATGAGACAAAACCGCAAACAGGTTGTCGATCAACACATATGAAGGAGCCTGGCCCCAATCCCGTAAGTCCTTCCAGGACTAGGACCAGCCTCATTTGTGTGGTCACACAAGAAATCGCAAAACTGGTCTCGGATCAGTCTTGAGCTGTTCCTGTGAGCGCAGCCCTGCTCAACATGGGAGACCCTCATTACCTTCCTGACTCGCTTTGAAAACCGTAACGCGGTGAGAATTAACGAAACACACCTTCTGCTGCCACGCTCCGCCGGCGACTGGAGAGCCATTAAGAGCTTTGGCGGACCGTGACTCAAGGCTTCAAAATTGCACACAGAGATCCTTAACTGGCGACATATTTTTTGGAGAGGCTCTGGGTTTCTAAACCAAGAAAGAGAGAGAGAAAGGGACCAAAAATAAGAGCAAGGGTTTCAGAGCAAGGTCATTTGAAAGTACCTCATTATGTAGGACATACCTCTCAAGCTGGCTCAAGTTCTTGAGCTGAACTTGCAGCCCATTGGCTTTCCATAGAAAGCCCCATTGCAGATGTTCTCATCTACTTTCCTGGAAAGGGTCAAGAGGGATACATGCCCTTATTTTGATCTGCAGCCTATGCTCCGGCCTTGAGCAGATTGTTTCCTCATTGAGCATGCCTTCAGCTCCCTGTTGATCGTTTCCCAGATTGCTTCCTAAACCAAAGTGCCGTTTTCATTGTTCCTTGGGATGACATTGCATTCAAACCATATTTTAATGTACTGATTCCAACTGCATGTGATTTGGGCTTGTTATTTAACTTTTATCCTATTGGCAGGTTAAAAATCAGGGGGTTACAGAAGAGCTGCGGTGCTTGGGCTTGCTCAACGCCCTGGATAAAGACCGGGACATTCCCGAAGACCTGGCCCAACTGTTTGGTGAACCTTGCATCAAGCTAGCTGAGGGTATCAAAGCCTATATTTCCAAGGTAAGTTCACATCTCGGTTTTTGATTCTACTGGTTGCACAACATTCTGCATTCATTTGTTGGGATATCTGTTGAGGCAAGCCGTGTCTTAATTACAGCTATTGAAAACATCATCTGCCTTTTCAATACGTGGGCACAGTTGTAGACAACAGTTTCAAGTGAAGTTCTTCACAGCATGAAACAACTTGCTATTACCATAAATGTGTCCTGGCAAGTGATTACAATCACCTTAGGGAAGAAAAGTGGACGGTTGAGTCATGGGAGAGTTTTTCAAGCATTTATGCTTGTATATGCAGCATTGTAGAGGGTGACTCACCCCCTTGTCCCGATCATGAACCAGTCTAGCAGTCAGAGCTCAGATGTGAAGGAAATGGCTTGGTTTTCCCCTGGCGTGGCTGGTTATCCCTTCAGCGTTCAGCTTTTCCCCACACAGCCTTCCAGTGGTGGTTACATTAATAAAACTGACATGTTTGGAAGCCTAGGGCTTGGTTTTTGAATAAGTCTCATTCTAAAGGTGTGATTAGACTTAAAGAGCATCAAGTAGTAAAGTCAAACATTTATTTACATTACACACACTTTTTTAATGTTTTGATAGAAGCTTCAAACGCTCAGCAATGCTGCATTTATTTGATAAAAAGTAAAACTGTTATATATTGTAATAATTTAAAAGAAGTCTTTTCTGTTTTAAAATATTTTTAAATGTAATTTATTTCTGTGATGGCAAAGCTGTATTCTTTTTAGCAGCGATTACTCCAGTCTTGAAAACAGTTGTGCTGCTTAATATTTTTGAGGAAAATTTTCAAGTTCAAAACAACAGCCTTTAAAATATAAATTGTATTAATGTAAACGTCTGTACTGTCACTACTTCACTTTGCATCCTTGCCGAATATAAATATGAATTTCATTTTTTTTTTTAAACTGACCACAAACTTTTGAACACTAGTATTATATGTTAGGGCAGATATAGGACAGAAATAAGTTAAAACAAAACATGCACAATGATAAATTCACCTATTAAATTAATTAAACAATCTTTAATATCAGAAAATTACTGATATGGTACCTATATATTGTGCATCCCTATACTTAATTTTATCCATCCGTGTCAGACTGAATAAATAGCTATTTGGCTATTGGTTAACATTCTCCAATAGGCTACACGGCCTAAAAGACATCAGCAGAAAAGTAAAAGCCGTTTCAGAGGAGAAAGAAATTCTTTGTTTGGAACAACCCGCACCAATGAATCATTCACAATAAAACCAGGAAACATTAGTTTAGAAAGTAAATATGGTTAATTTTGACTATAGGCTTTTCATTATGGTGGAAGTGTCGCAACTTCTGAATGCCTTTTTTTTTTAAATTAATTTTCCATGCCACCCCTTTGTTTACCCAAGTCCCTCAGCTCCGGGAATATGTTATCAGATTTTACGAAGCATGTCTACCCCGTCCTAACCCTTTCCCTCCCGCCGCTATGCGCAACAGCCCGTGCGTACCGTCAAATCTTTCACTACTAATTGAGTGAGGCTGCAAACAATTTATTGGCACTCAGAGACAGAGGCATTTGCCTCATAATTAAAAACACATGCGCCACTTCTGAGAGATGCAATTATGGTGCGTTAAAGAATTCCCTGATCATGCTAAGGGGATCAGTCAGTGGAAAAACTAAACAAATAATGCAGAGTTTTGACAAATAAAAAGAGAATGTGAGGGGTAGGTGAGTACATGAGTCTCAAAACACAAAAATAACGTATAGTTGCATGTGTTTGCATGCATGTTCACGCGTCAATACGAATAAGAGGGTGAGATTCAGATTTAGATAGGAAGATATTTACACGCAGAGAAAGAAACAGCCTGAACAAGCACATGCCGAGGCTTCGGGCTCTTTTCCAGCTTCATGTCAGCACAGAGGTAAAGCACACAGAAAAAGAACGAGAGGATAAGGAGGATCGAGAGAGTGTTCGTGGCGAAGGCAGCGAATGAGTGAGTGAGGAGAGATGAAGGAAATGCATGTTTCTGAAGCGAAGGCCTTCAGAATCCAGAGAATGCCAGAACACCTGGTAGTTATTATGGAGGGCTCAAAAAAAGAAGCAGCAAAAAGACAAGTCTGACGTCCTCCAGATTCTCGACTTTAGCCAGACTCAGCACACGGACATGCAGTATGCTAACCGCTGACCATTGTAGCTCCCTGACTTTCCGTGGCTCTTTTTGGGCTTTGGTGTAACACGTAATGCAGAATGACTGCACAGCTAACAAGAGTCGAACCCTGCAAGAGTTCAGTTAATTCACCGAACAAATGGCCACGTCCGCAGAGAATCACATGCAGAAACCCTAACGCAAGTCAACAAATCAAAAGACGCTACAACATCTCGGCCAGAATGGATTCGATCCAGCCCAGAAATAATATCAGCATTCCAAGGAATATTATATGCTCAACCTGCACCTGAACAGGACCCCGCATCAGCCACTTGAGTCCTCTCAATATCCCTAAATCCCTCCTCAGTTTCCCGCAAAGCTAAATGGGACGTTTTGTCCCCATTCTCCGCTTGTCTCGGATTCTCCTAATGACTCATTAGATGAGGAAGCATGTCGTCTTCGGGCTCACATCCGCAGCGCTGCATCACCACCGGCGTCTGAAACAGATTTACGATGAAAGCAGTGATCATACTCGGGGCATCCCGCCAGCCGCAAGATTTTCCGCCAGCCTCAGAACAAACACAAAGGCCATCTCTGTCTGCCCTCTAACCTTTATCTTCTGCACGATCATAGCTCAAGGACTGTGTTTTCGATGGTGTGGTTGGTTTTACTACATGCGGTTTCTCTGGGTGAATGTATTGTTTGTTTCAGAAATCTACGGGAGACTGCTAGCTTGTGGACGCGGATTGGGTTTGATAACAAGCAAACACGAGATTTGCTGGGGTGAAAAAGGGTGAAAAGAAAGAAAAAGAGAAAAACGTTAATAAAGTAATAAAGGCCGGTCCAGTCGGTGTTCTCATGTTGCGCTGCGTGGAGTTACACGATGGCTCGCCTCCTGCCAAATATGCGCTGAGCTCTCAAAGCTGGTATTACTTAGAGTCGAATTTCAGCGAGTGCTCCGCAACGACCTTCCGACCTAAAAAGAGAGAGAGAGAGAGAACGAAAGAGGGATTAAGTTGGGTTTAAAGCTTCGGAAGTCTTCAAGCCCATTCCCCACACCAAAAGAGAGACTGAAGACAGCCTGTCACATCTTTAACACCCCATTAAGTGTCGGTGTGGCAGAGAGCCCTGACAAGAGAGAGAAAGAAGAGGAAGACACAGCCACAAATACTACTAATCCTGACTGCTTTTTAAAATGCAGGGTAGGGTTGCACCAGCCGCTTGTAAGTCCTAAATGCGGACATAAAGTTCACACTAGGGCTCTAGTAGCTCAACTCTCAATTGAACTGCAATGCACCATTAGTAGTGTGCAGTCTCATAAATTGATGCAATTGAATAAAAAAAGTATTATATACCTATATATTTATTTATTTTGGAAAGGCATACCAAGATGAATGTCTTACCATACTAATCAGTAATATTTATTTTTTAAGAATTTTATTCAGCAAGTATGCATTAAAGGGGTCATATGATGTTGCTAAAAAGAACATTATTTTGTGTATTTGGTGTAATGAAATGTGTTTATGCGGTTCAAAAAACACATTTTCCACATACTGTACGTTATTGTTTCTCGTCTATGCCCCGCCTTTCTGAAACGCGTCGATTTTTACAAAACTCATCGGTCTGAAAAACGAGGTGTGCTCTGATTGGCCAGCTATCCAGTGCGTTATGATTGGCC